ACGCCCCCCTAAAGGCCACATAAACCCCCCCAGGGCCAACCCCCCCCACCCCGGTGGCACCGCGGCCAGGGCTGGGGACATCAGCAGGGGCGTCATGGCCGTGGGGACACTGATGGTCGCAGCGTGGTCACGGCGTGGTGGCACCACTGGTGACACCTGCGGTGGCACTAAAGGTGGCGTGATGGTCGTGCCACTGTCCCACCATGGTGGCACTGGTGGTGACAGGGGGTGACACTGATGGTGACACTGATGGTTACACCAATGGCCAGACCACGGTGCCACCATGGTGACGCTGATGGTGACACCAGCGTCAAGGTCATGATCCCACAGTGGTGACACCAATGATGCCACCAACAATGAGACCACAGTCCCATCACGGTGACATTGATGGTGACACCAATGGCCAGACCACAGTCCCATCATGGTGACACTGATGGTGACACCAATGGCCAGACCACGGTCCCATCGTGGTGACATTGATGGTGACACCAATGACCATGCCACAGTCCCACCATGGTGACACCAAAAGTGCCACTAACAATGAGACCACGATCCCATCTTGACATTGATGGTGACACCAAGAGTGCCACTAGCTGGTCACTAACACATGACACCACGGTCCCATCGTGGTGACACCAACGATGCCATTGACACCACGGTCAGTGCCACTAACAATGAGACCACGATCCCATCTTGACATTGATGGTGACACCAAGAGTGCCACTAGCTGGTCACTAACACATGACACCACGGTCCCATCGTGGTGACACCAGTAATGTCTCTGAGACCATGTTGCCATCTTGGTGACACCAATGATGCCATCGGGACCACGGTCCCATCATGGTGACACCAACGATGCCACCAACAATGAGACCACGGTCTCATCTTGGTGACACTAATGATGTCATTGAGACCATGCTCCCATCCTGGGGACACCAGCAATGCCACTGAGACCATGTTGCCATCTTGGTGACACCAATGATGGCATTGGGACAATGGTCCCATCATGGTGACACCAACGATGCCACCAACAATGAGACCACGGTCTCATCTTGGTGACACTAATGATGTCATTGAGACCATGCTCCCATCTTGGGGACACCAGCAATGCCACTGAGACCATGTTGCCATCTTGGTGACACCAATGATGGCATTGGGACCACAGTCCCATCTTGGTGACATCAACGAAGCCATTGGGACCACGGTCCCATCTTGGTGACACCAGTGATGCCACTAACAGTGAGACCATGGTCCCATCATGGTGACACCAACAATGCCATTGGGACCGAGGTCCCATCTTGGTGACACCAGCAATGCCACCAACAATGAGACCACGGTCCCATCATGGTGACACCAGTGATGTCACTGACACCATGGTCCCATCATGGTGACACCAGTGATGCCACTGACACCACGGTCCCATCATGGTGACACCAGTGATGCCACTGACACCACGGTCCCACCACAGCGCCACCGCTGCCACAGTGACACCGCTGTGCCGCCACCGCCGATGCCCCCCCCGGTGCCGGTCCCTGCCGGTGTCCCCGTGCCCTGCCCCGTGTCCCCGTAACGCTCTTCTCCTCCCTCCGAAGGCAGCGGGGACAGCGAGCGGCTGGCGCTGGCGCGGCAGCGCATCCCCTTCCGCCTGGGGCGGGTGGTCGATGAGTGGCTGCTCGACAAAGGTAACGGCAGCGAGCGCCCCCCACACCTGGGCACCCCCCACACCTGGGCACCCCCCACACCTGGGCGCTCCCCACACCTGGGCACAGAGATTTTTGGGGTCCCAGGTGTCTGGAAGCCGCTGATTTGGGGAGTGTCTGGGACCCCCGGCACCTGGAGGCTCCGACACCTGGGCACCGCCACACCTGGGCACCCCGAAATGTGGGGACTCAGGTGTGCGGGACCCACCTGTTTGGGGTCCCAGGTGTTGGGGGGTCCCGGCATTTGGGACCCCGATATTTGGGGGTTGCAGCACCTGGGCCCCACAGGTGTCCAGGAGCCACGTCCCGGAGGACCCCGTTGTCCAGGGACCCCCCAGGTGTCCGGGGAGGGACCCCAGGTGTTGGGGGAGGGGCCAGCCCCTGCCCCGCCCCCTCATTACCTGGTTAAAGGGATGCTAACGCACCTAACGGCCCCCCTAAACCGCGCTGAGCCCAGAGCCCCCCTAAAGCCGCATAAACCCGCTAAACCCCCTAACCCGCACCTGCCCCGCCACGCCCGGGGCCGGGGCTGCCAGGTGTGCGCAGGACAGGTGTGCACCAGGTGTGCACCACGGCTGGGGCGTGCGCCAGGTGTGCACCAGGTGTGCACAGGACAGGTGTGCACCAGGTGTGCACCACGGCTGGGGCGTGCGCCAGGTGTGCACAGGACAGGTGTACACCAGGTGTGCACCAGGTGTGCACCACGGCTGGGGCGTGCGCCAGGTGTGCACAGGACAGGTGTACACCAGGTGTGCACCAGGTGTGCACCATGTCTGGGATGTGCACCAGGTGTGTGCCAGGTGCGCACCGGGTCTGAGCCATGGCACCAGGTGTGCACAGGACAGGTGTGTGCCAGGTGTCCATGAGGACAGGTGTGCACCGGGTGCGCACCAGATCTGAGCCATGGCACCAGGTGTGCGCAGGACAGGTGTGCACCAGGTGCCCATGAGGACAGGTGTGCACCGGGTGCGCACCAGATCTGAGCCATGGCACCAGGTGTGCACAAGGCCAGGTGTGCGCCAGGTGCCCATGAGGACAGGTGTGCACCGGGTGCGCACCAGATCTGAGCCATGGCACCAGGTGTGCACAAGGCCAGGTGTGTGCCAGGTGCCCGTGAGGACAGGTGTGCAGCGGGTGCGCACCAGGTGTGCAGCAGGGCCAGGTGTGTGCGAGGAAGGCACACAGGTGTGTCCGCCCTGCGGGCCCAGGTGTGCACAGGAGCCGCCCCAGCCTCGCACGCCCCTCGCACGCCCCGGCCCCGCCCAGGCAGGGCCCCTGCCCCTCCCCCNNNTGGGCGTGGCAGGGAGAGGCAGGTGGGGCAGTGTGGGGGCGTGCCAGGTGTGGGGGTGTGCCAGATGTGGGGATTAGGCTTTGCCAGGTGTGGGTTAAGACCATGCCAGGTGTGCCAGGTGTGGGGCAAAGCTGTGCCAGGTGTGCCAGGTGTGGGGTGAGGCTGTGCCAGGTGTGGGGCCGTGCCAGGTGTGGGGTGAGGCTGTGCCAGGTGTGCCGCTGCCCTGCCCATCCATGGGACTGTGTGTGGTGTGACAGTGTCAGGGTGACAGTGGCAGGATGAGCCAGGTGAGCCAGTACCAGGTAAGCCAGTACCAGGTGAGCCAGTACCAGGTGTGCCAGGTGTGCGAGCCCCCCCCTCCCCCCCCGGCTGGCAGCTGCCCCTCTCCAGCAGCCAGGGAGATGTGTGTGGGTGAGGTGACAATGTCAGGGTAGCACAGGTGACACAGGTGTGCTGGTACCAGGTGTGCCAGGTGTGCGAATCCTCCGTGACAGTTTTGAGGTCACAGTGTTAGGGTGACAACTTTAGGGTAGTACAGGTAACACAGGTGAGCCAGGTGTGCCAGCCGGGGGGATGAGTGTAGGTGAGGTGACAATGTCGGGGTGACATTGTCAGGGTAGCACAGGTGACACAGGGGACACAGGTGTGCTGGTACCAGGTGTGCCAGGTGTACAAACCCCCCCTCTCCAGCCATGGTAGAGGTGTGAGTGTGGGGTGACAGTGTCAGGGTGATGACGTTGAGGTTACAGTGACAATGTCAGGGTAACACAGGTGAGCCAGGTGAGCCAGGTGAGCCAGGTGTGCCACGTGTGCCAGGTGTACAAACCCCCCCTCTCCAGCCATGGTAGAGGTGTGAGTGTGGGGTGACAGTGTCAGGGTGATGGCGTTGAGGTCACAGTGTTAGGGTGACAACTCTAGGGTAGTACAGGTAACACAGGTGAGCCAGGTGTGCCAGTACCAGGCGTGCCAGGTGTGCGAGCCCCCCTCATCCCCCCAGCTGCCCCTCCCCACCAGCCGGGGGGGATGTGCGTGGGTGAGGTGACAATGTCGGGGTGACATTGTCAGGGTAGCACAGGTGACACAGGTGAGCCAGGTGTGCCAGTACCAGGTGTGCCAGGTGTGCGAGCCCCCCCTCTCCCCCCCAGGCCAGCATCTGCCCCTCTCCACCAGCTGGGGGATGAGTCAGGTTGAGGTGACAATGTCGGGGTGACATTGTCGGGGTAGCACAGGTGACGCAGGTGACACAGGTGACACAGGTGACACAGGTGAGCCGGCACCAGGTGTGCCAGGTGTGCGAGCCCCCCCTCTCCCCCCCAGGCCGGCAGCTGACCATCTTCAACAGCCAGGCGCGCGTGCGGGTGGGGGGCCGGGACCGCGGCCGCCCCTTCCAGGGGCAGCTCTCGGGGCTCTACTACAACGGGCTGAAGCTGCTGGCGCTGGCGGCCGAGGGACACCCCCGCGTGCGGCTCGAGGGGGACCTGCGGCTCGTGGGGGACCCCCGGCTGAGAGGGGCTCAGGGTGAGGGGCAGGTATGGGGGGACCCCAGAGAGGGGCAGGAGGGGCCATCCCGAACACCTGGGGGCGCTCAGGTGACCCCTGAGCTTTGGGGGGCTCTGGGGGGGTTTGGGGGTCCCCAGACCCGCACTGACCCCCCCCGGTGTCCCCCCCAGAACACGGACGATCTGCTGGTGGCCTCGGCCGAGTGTCCGAGCGATGACGAGGACCTGGAGGAGTGTGAGCCGGGCACAGGTGGGTGCTGCTCCGGGGCCCCGGGCACGCGCGTGTGGCACGGCCTCGCACACGCGTGTGGCACGGCCTCGCACACGCGTGTGGCACGGCCGCAGAGCCCGGGGCTCTTCCCCACCCCCCCGGCGGGGGCGAGACCCCCGCGCAGGTGTGGGGGTGTGCACACACACAGGCGTGGGGGGGCGGGGGTGTTGCACACGCGTGTGAGCAGGGAACGTGCCAGGCTGCTCACGGCAGGGGAACACGCGGGTACGGGAGCTGCTGACACACCTGGACAGGTGCACACACACACACCTGGAAAGGTGTGCTTACATGGACACACACACGTACACACATACACACACACCTGAACTGTTAACACACACCTGCACAGGTGCACGCACACCTGAAGTATTCACACACACCTGGACAGGTGTGGACACACACACACACACCTGGACAGGTGTGGACACACACACACACACCTGGACAGGTGTGGACACACACACACACACCTGCACAGGCGTACAAATCTGAACTGTGCACACATGTGTGGTCAGGAGCTGCTCACACACACACAGGGACAGGTGTGCACACACACCTGAGCTCACACACACCTGAGCTCACACTTGCACACCCAGGTGCCCCCCCTTGCACACGCCCTCCCACCTGTGGCCCCGCCCCTCACCCGTGGCCCCGCCCCCCACCCTGCACAGGTGTTCCCGCCCATTCCGAGCACACACCTGAGCCCGGGGCCGTGCAAGCCCCGCCCCCAGCCCCTGCTTCCCCTGACGGATGGACACTCGGACACTTGGACACTCGGACACTCGGACATTTGGACGGACAGGGAGGACCCCTCGGTCTGGGGTCACCCCGTGTGACACTGTCACACCTGTGCTGTCACACCTGTGCTGCCACCAGGACCTCAGTGAGGCCCCTCCCCCACCCCCGGTGTCACACGGTGACACCCCCTGGACACCCCCGGGTGTCACCTGGACACTGGAGACCCCCCGCTCACCTGGGGCCTCACCTGGCACCCACAGGTGTCACCTGGACACCCGGGTGTGCCCCACAGGTGTCCCCAGGACACTCTGGTCCCCCAAAACCCCACTTGTGGGGGAGGGGCGGCAGTGGTCAGGGGAAAGGGGGAGGAGCGGGGGACAGACAGACAGACAGTGGACGGACAGTGGATGGACAATGGATGGACAATGGATGGACAATTGACCCTGGATGGATGATGGACAGTAGTCTGTAGATGGACAGATGGATGGACGGGGGGCAGGTATGGGGGGACCCCAGAGAGGGGCAGGAGGGGCCATCCCGAACACCTGGGGGCGCTCAGGTGACCCCTGAGCTTTGGGGGGCTCTGGGGGGGTTTGGGGGTCCCCAGACCCGCACTGACCCCCCCCGGTGTCCCCCCCAGAACACGGACGATCTGCTGGTGGCCTCGGCCGAGTGTCCGAGCGATGACGAGGACCTGGAGGAGTGTGAGCCGGGCACAGGTGGGTGCTGCTCCGGGGCCCCGGGCACGCGCGTGTGGCACGGCCTCGCACACGCGTGTGGCACGGCCTCGCACACGCGTGTGGCACGGCCGCAGAGCCCGGGGCTCTTCCCCACCCCCCCGGCGGGGGCGAGACCCCCGCGCAGGTGTGGGGGTGTGCACACACACAGGCGTGGGGGGGCGGGGGTGTTGCACACGCGTGTGAGCAGGGAACGTGCCAGGCTGCTCACGGCAGGGGAACACGCGGGTACGGGAGCTGCTGACACACCTGGACAGGTGCACACACACACACCTGGAAAGGTGTGCTTACATGGACACACACACGTACACACATACACACACACCTGAACTGTTAACACACACCTGCACAGGTGCACGCACACCTGAAGTATTCACACACACCTGGACAGATGTGGACACACACACACACACCTGGACAGGTGTGGACACACACACACACACCTGCACAGGCGTACAAATCTGAACTGTGCACACATGTGTGGTCAGGAGCTGCTCACACACACACAGGGAACAGGTGTGGACCACACCTGAGCTCACACACACCTGAGCTCACACTTGCACACCCAGGTGCCCCCCCTTGCACACGCCCTCCCACCTGTGGCCCCGCCCCTCACCCGTGGCCCCGCCCCCCACCCTGCACAGGTGTTCCCGCCCATTCCGAGCACACACCTGAGCCTGGGGGCCGTGCAAGCCCCGCCCCCAGCCCCTGCTTCCCCTGACGGACGGACACTCGGACACTTGGACACTCGGACACTCGGACATTTGGACGGACAGGGAGGACCCCTCGGTCTGGGGTCACCCCGTGTGACACTGTCACACCTGTGCTGTCACACCTGTGCTGCCACCAGGACCTCAGTGAGGCCCCTCCCCCACCCCCGGTGTCACACGGTGACACCCCCTGGACACCCCCGGGTGTCACCTGGACACTGGAGACCCCCCGCTCACCTGGGGCCTCACCTGGCACCCACAGGTGTCACCTGGACACCCGGGTGTCCCCCACAGGTGTCCTCAGGACACTCTGGTCCCCCAAAACACCACTTGTGGGGGAGGGGCGGCAGTGGTCAGGGGAAAGGGGGAGGAGCGGGGGACAGACAGACAGACAGTGGACGGACAGTGGATGGACAATGGATGGACAATTGACCCTGGATGGATGATGGACAGTAGTCCGTAGATGGACAGATGGATGGATGATGGAGGGATGGATGGATGGATGGAGGGATGATGGATGGATGATCGATGGATGGATGGATGGAGGGATGATGGATGGATGATCGATGGATGGATGGATGGAGGGATGATGGATGGATGATCGATGGATGGATGGATGGAGGGATGATGGATGGATGATCGATGGATGGATGGATGGAGGGATGATGGATGGATGATCGATGGATGGATGGATGGAGGGATGATGGATGGATGATCGATGGATGGATGGATGGAGGGATGATGGATGGATGATCGATGGATGGATGGATGGAGGGATGATGGATGGATGATCGATGGATGGATGGATGGAGGGATGATGGATGGATGATCGATGGATGGATGGATGGAGGGATGATGGATGGATGATCGATGGATGGATGGATGGAGGGATGATGGATGGATGATCGATGGATGGATGGATGGAGGGATGATGGATGGATGATCGATGGATGGATGGATGGAGGGATGATGGATGGATGATCGATGGATGGATGGATGGAGGGATGATGGATGGATGATCGATGGATGGATGGATGGAGGGATGATGGATGGATGATCGATGGATGGATGGATGGAGGGATGATGGATGGATGATCGATGGATGGATGGATGGAGGGATGATGGATGGATGATCGATGGATGGATGGATGGAGGGATGATGGATGGATGATCGATGGATGGATGGATGGAGGGATGATGGATGGATGATCGATGGATGGATGGATGGAGGGATGATGGATGGATGATCGATGGATGGATGGATGGAGGGATGATGGATGGATGATCGATGGATGGATGGATGGAGGGATGATGGATGGATGATCGATGGATGGATGGATGGAGGGATGATGGATGGATGATCGATGGATGGATGGATGGAGGGATGATGGATGGATGATCGATGGATGGATGGATGGAGGGATGATGGATGGATGATCGATGGATGGATGGATGGAGGGATGATGGATGGATGATCGATGGATGGATGGATGGAGGGATGATGGATGGATGATCGATGGATGGATGGATGGAGGGATGATGGATGGATGATCGATGGATGGATGGATGGAGGGATGATGGATGGATGATCGATGGATGGATGGATGGAGGGATGATGGATGGATGATCGATGGATGGATGGATGGAGGGATGATGGATGGATGATCGATGGATGGATGGATGGAGGGATGATGGATGGATGATCGATGGATGGATGGATGGAGGGATGATGGATGGATGATCGATGGATGGATGGATGGAGGGATGATGGATGGATGATCGATGGATGGATGGATGGAGGGATGATGGATGGATGATCGATGGATGGATGGATGGAGGGATGATGGATGGATGATCGATGGATGGATGGATGGAGGGATGATGGATGGATGATCGATGGATGGATGGATGGAGGGATGATGGATGGATGATCGATGGATGGATGGATGGAGGGATGATGGATGGATGATCGATGGATGGATGGATGGGTGGATGGATGGAATCAAGGATGGAATCAAGGATGGATTCATGGATGGACGAATGGATGGATCCAAGGCCGATGGCCGGTGGCCGGTGGTGGCCGGCGGTGGCCGGGGCCGGCCGGGGCCGGGCGCTGGCGCCGCAGGGGTGGCCGCGGCACCTTCTCACCGAGTGTCTCTTCTCTTCTTTTCTTTTTGTTCTTTTTTTCTCTTTTTTCTCTTTCTCTCGTTTTTTGTGTGCTTTCCCTTCCTTCCTGCAATTTCTTTTTCCTCCACGCTAAAATCACCCGGCCCCATCCCGCGATGTAAGTTGACGGCAGCGCCGCGGTTTGCTCTTAAAAACAAAAAACCGAGAAAAAAAAAAAAAAAGAAGAGGATTAGCTAAAAAAGAAAAAAAAAAAAAAAAAAAAAAA